CTCGAATCCTCCTCGAATCCTCGATCCTCGATCGACCGTACTCGAATCCCCGACCTCCGACCCTCGAGCCTGGACGGCCCCAGCTCCCGCCGTGGCGGGCGGCTCGGGCTGCGCGCGGGCGTCGGGGGTCGCGGCAGGAGCGCGGGGAGCAGCCGCCACCTCGCCCGCGGCGATCCCGCAGCGCCCGGGACGGGGCAGTAGCAGGCGCGGACGGAGAGCAAGGCCTGGCATCGCTCGGACGTGTGCATTTTTCCTTCGGCGAGGACCATCGAGGAGCATCCTTGATCATTTGGCGAAAAAAACACGCACGAAACCGAAAAAACACAGTAAATGGACGTCCGAGCGATGGCGAGAAGGTAGCGCCCGGAGCGAAGCACGCTCGCAAAAAGGGTACGCGCAAACAGAAGGAGTCGTCAAAATCCCCAGGAAAGCATGTGAACAGATGTGAAGTGGAGGGGAAGACGAACACCCAAACAATATGGAAACACTAGGGGAATCCTGGGATGTGTGTATCGGAGGTCGGGGGGTGAGATCGCAGTGGAACGGAGACCCCAAGCCGGGAAATCGTTTCGTTTCGTTCGTGTCGTGCGCGCGGGCGAAGAGAAGCTGCGGGGGCGCGCGAGAGGAATAAACCCGCCGCTGCTAGGGCGAAGAAGTCAAGACAGATGTTGCTCCCCCGTCCGTCCGTCCGTCCGTCTGGCCGTGGCCCTAGCGGTGTCCCGCGGTGTCCCGTGGTAGGGCGAAGTCAAGACAAATGTTTCTCCTCCGTCCGTCCGTCTGGCGGTGGCCCTAGCCCGTGGTGCCCGCCGTTGCTAGGGCGAAGTCAAGACGAATGCTTCTCCTCCGTCCGTCCGTCCGTCCGGCGGTGGCCCTAGCGGTGTCCCGCGGTGTCCCGTGGTGTCCCGTGGTGTCCCGTTGAGTGAGATCGATAGTGAGATCGATATTGAGATCGATATTGAGATCGTTTTGGTGCCCCGAGGTGTCCCGTGGTGTCCCAAAAAGTGAGGTCGATAGTGAGATCGATAATGAGGTGTCCCGTGGTGTCCCTTGGTGTCCCGTTGAGTGAGATCGATAGCGAGATCGACAGTGAGATCGAAATTGAGATCGATGTGGTGCCCCGAGGTGTCCCGTGGTGTCCCAAAAATTGGCATCGATAGTGAGATACTGAGATCGACAGGTGTCCCGTGGTGTCCCGTGGTGTCCCGTTGAGAGAGATCGATAGTGAGATCGATTGAGTCAGATGTTGGTTCCCCCCCTCTCCCCCCCCCAACCTCCTTATCACCCGAAGGGTGGTCGTATAGGTCGGAGGTGAGGGGGTGAGATCGAAGTGGAACGGAGAGCCCCCCTACCGGGAAATCGGTTTCGTGTTCGTGTTCGTGCGTGCAGTGCGTGCGGGCGAGGCGAAGCTGCGTGGGCGGGCGAGAAGAAAGTCTCCTGTGGCTGAGGCGCGGCCGTACCAAATGTCTCCCTTCCGGGCGGCCGGGGGCCCGCGGTGTCCCGCCAGTGTCCCGCTGGTGTCCCGTGTGGCTGAGGCGCGGCCGGACCAAATGTCTCCCTTCCGGGCGGCCGGGGCCCCGCGGTGTCCCGCCGGTGTCCCGTCAGTGATGATGATGATGATGATGATAATGATGATGATGATGACGATGACGATGATGATGATGATGATGATGATGATGATGATGTTGACAACGATGATGATGATGATGATGATGATGATGATGGTGATGATGATGGTGGTGATGATGATGTGAGATCGATCGAATGAGATCGGTAGTGAGATCGGTAGTGAGATCGATCGTGAGACCGAATGTGAGATCGATCGTGAGATCGATAGCCAGATCGATTGTGAGATCTATTGTGAGATCGATTGTGAAATCGATAGTGAGATCGTTAGTGAGATCGAGTGTGAGATCGATAGCCAGATCGATTGTGAGATCGATCGAATGAGATCGATAATGAGATCGATAGCGAGATCGATAGTGAGATCGATCGAGTGCGACGGTGGTCGGTGGTCCCCCCCCTCGCCTCCTTATCACCCGAAGGGTGGTCTATGCGGTATGGGTATACTCGTTTGTGTGTATGTGTGTATGTGTGTGCGTAGTTGTGTGTATTTGTGTGTGGGTGTGTGGGTGTGTAAGAGTGCGTGTGTGCGTGAACGTAACCGTGAGTGCTTGTGCGTGTGCGCGTCTGCGTGTGCGTGTGGGTGCGGGTGTGGGTGTGGGTGTGGGTGTGGGTGTGGGTGTGGGTGTGGGTGTGGGTGTGTGTTTGTGTGTGTGTGCGTGTGCACGTGCGTGTGCGTGTGCGCGTGTGCGCGTGTGCGCGTGTGCGCGTGTGCGCGTGTGCGCGTGTGCGCGTGTGCGCGTGTGCGCGTGTGCGTGTGTGCGTGTGTGCGTGTGTGCGTGTGATGTGCGTGTGTGGTGCGTGTGATGTGCGTGTGTGCGTGTGTGCGTGTGTGCGTGTGATGTGCGTGTGTTCGTGTGATATGCGTGTGTGCGTGTGGTGTGCGTGTGCGGCTGCGGCTGCGGCTGCGTGTGCGTGTGCGTGCGTTCGTGCGTGTGCGCGTGCGTGTGCGCGTGCGCGTGCGTGTGCGCGTGCGTGTGCTGGTGCAGTTGCGTGTGCGTGTGCGTGTGCGTGTGCGCGTGCGTGTATGTGTACGCGTGCGTGTGCGTACGGTTGTGGGTGCGGGTTTGCACGCGCGTGCGTGTGCGTGTGCGTGTGCGCGTGCACTTGTGTGTGCGTGTGCGGACGCGTGTGCGTGTGCGAGTGCGGGTGCGGGTGCGGGTGCGCGTGCGCGTGCGCGTGCGCGGGTGCGGGTGCGTGTGCGTGTGCGTGTGCGTGTGCGTGTGCTGCGCGTGCGTGTGCGCGTGCGTGTGCTCGTGCGGGTGTGGGTGCGTGTGCGTGTACGTGTGCGTGTGCGTGTGTTGGTGCAGGTGCGTGTGCGTGTGCGGATGCGGGTGCGGGTGCGGGTGCGGGTGAGGGTGCGGGTGCGGGTGCAGGTGCGCGTGTGCGTGTGCTTTTCCGTGTGCGTGTGCGTGTGCGTGTGCGTTTGCGCGTGCGTGTGTGTTCGCGCGTGTGTGTTCGTGCGTGTGCGGGTGCGGGTGCGGGAGCGCACGCGTGTGCGTGTGCGTGTGCGTGTGCGTGTGGCCGTGCTCGTCTATGCCGCCGCAACGCCGTCGCGCTTGTTCTCGCGCCCTCCTTCCCTTGTGGCCGCGTATCTGCTGACTTCTGCTACTCTGGCTCCGATATTGGCGGCCTCCTTCTGCTTTGCGGCGGTCCTGCATCTATGTTCCTGCGCAGCGCTGCCCCATCTTCATTATCTTCCTCCCCCTTCTCCCTCGTCCCCGTCCCTTTCTTTCTCATCCTCCTCCCTCCTCAGGGGTGGAGGCGACAGTGGCATGGGGAGGGGGCAGCGCATAGGGGGTCTAGAAAAGCGGACCTGCCGGGGCTCCCCTTGATGTTCAGTCAAGGTTCTTGCAGCTCGCAACCGTGTAATCCGACCAGGAGCGTGATGCCGGTAACCACTTCGTGGGACTCTCGCTATTCGATTTCTTTCCGCAAGCCTGTTTTTCTTTCACGGGGATCCGTACGAATTAGCACGACGTCCTTGCGCTGGTCTCCCAAGCCAGGGTGCAGCCTGCAGGTCGAGGGGCGGGAGGAGGAGGACGTGGAGGAGGTGGTGGAGGAGGAGGAGGAGGAGGGGGAAGGGGGAGGGAGGAGAGGAAGAGATGAGGAGAGAGGAGGAGGAGAGGAGGAAGGAGGCAGAGAGGCAGAGAGGAGAAGGAGTAGGAGGAAGAGGAGGAGGAGAAGGAGAAGGAGGAGGAGGAGAGGAGGCAGAGAATGAGAAGGAGAAGAGAAGAGGAGGAGGAGAAGGAGGAGAGGGAGAGAGGGGGAGGAGGGGGAGGCGTAGGCGAGGCGAAGGGGGAAGGGAGCGGGAGGGAGGGGGAGGGGAGCGGGAGGGGAGGGGGAGGGGGTGGATGGGATGGGGAGGGAGGCGAAAGGGGAAGTGGAGCGGGAGGGGGAGCGGTAGGGGAGGTGGAGCGGGAGGGGAGGGAGGGGAGGGTGAGGGGGAGGGAGGGGGAGGGGGGGGTAGGAGGAGGAGAAGGAGGAGAGGAGGGGGAGGAGGAGGAGGAGGAGAAGGAAGGAGAGAGGAGGGGATGAGGAGGAGGAGGAGGAGGAGAGGAGGGGAGGAGGAGGAGGAGGAGAGGAGGAGGACGAGGAAGGAGGAGGATGAGGAAGAGGTGGTGTAGGAGTAAGGAGTAGGAGGAGGAGGAAGAGGAGGATGAGGAGGAGGGGAGGACGAGGAGGAGGAGGCAGAGGAGAGCAGGAGAAGGGAGAGAGTAGAGGAGATTAAGGGAGGAGGAGGCAGAGGAAGGAGAAGGAGAAGGAGAAGGAGGAGGAGGAGGAGAGGGGATGAGGAGTAGTCGAGGCGGAGGAGCGGAGGCGAGGGGAGTTGGAGGGGGAGGAGGAGGGAGGGAGGGGGAGGGGGAGGGGAGGGGGAGGGGGAGGGGGAGGGTGAGGTGGAGGCGGAGGGGGAGGGGAGGGGGAGGGATGGGGAGGGGAGTGGAGGGGGAGGTGGAGGGGAGGGGGGAGAGGAGGAGGAGGAGTAGGAGGAGAAGTGAGGAGGAAGGAGGAGGAGGAGGAGGAGGAGTAAGGAGGAGGAGGAGGAAAAGGAGGAAAAGGAGGAGGGAGGAGAAAGAGATCGGAGGCGCCCACGTCTGCTCAGCACGTCGGTGTCCTCACCTCGGGTGGCACATGCTACGCAGGCACGGCAGGCACGAGAAGAAGCTGGGCCGGTGGGAGCGCCAGCCCCCGCCTGGAGCGACGCCGCCTATCATCGCGCGCACCCCTGTCAGAACATCCTGGCTCTTTGGCCACCGTTTTTTCTGCTATTGGCCCCCTGCTCCTCCTCTTCGTTTTCATCCTCCCGCCTCTTCCGCCTTCTCCTGCTTCTCTTGCTCCATTTCTTCCTCCTCCTCCTCTTCATCGTCCACCTCCTCTTC